CAAAAGCACACCGCCAGTTTCTGCATAATCACCTGGAAAAAGTAAAAGCCTTACAGGAGAAATATCCGTTTCTTAATTTAGAAAAAGAGCTCGCTTATTTTTCGCAGCAGTAAAAGTTTTGCCACGGTGATGATGCTTTGTATATTACATTTTCAAATCCCTACGAATGAAGAAAGAGCTGGAGACGAAGTTTAAAGAGATCTATGGTGCCGCCCCTGCATTTATATTTTTTTGCCCGGGTCGGGTAAATCTCATCGGAGAACATATCGACTATAATGGCGGCCAGGTAATGCCCTGCGCTATTTCATTGGGCACTTACGTCGCTATCAATACAAATGACAGCGCACTTCTGCGCTTCCGGTCACTTGATTTCTCTGAGACGGCCGAATTACCGCTGGAAAAAAGCTATACTAAAAAGGGGAAAGCATGGTTCAACTATCCGTTGGGTGTGATCAATGAATTGTTGAAAAAACATTCCCTTGGTGGTCTTGATATGTTGTTTTACGGAAATCTCCCTATTGGAGCGGGTCTTTCTTCATCAGCTTCAATTGAAGTATTGATGACGTTTGCACTCGACACGATTTATAAACTTGGTGTCGGCAAAAAAGAAGCCGCACTATTATCTCAAAAAGTAGAGAATACGTTTATCGGCGTCAACTGCGGCATTATGGACCAGTTCGCCGTAGCCATGGGACAGGAACACAAAGCAATCCTTTTGAACTGCGACACGCTGGCTTACCAGTACCTGCCTTTAAATACCGGTGAATATATCCTGGCAATCATTAACAGCAATAAGCAACGTACTCTCGCTGACTCCAAATACAACGAACGGTTTAGTGAATGCCGGGCAGCATTAAAGGCACTGAAGCAGAATTTGAAAATCGATCATCTTTGTGATATCAGCGTAGAAGTTTTTGAAAACCATCGCCACCTGATCAATGACGCCGTGCTGGAAAAAAGGGCTTTGCATGTCGTGAGTGAAAATGAACGTGTACATAAAGCCAAAGAAGCGCTTTCCGCGAACGATCTTATCCAGTTTGGCCGCCTGATGTATGAATCGCATCAATCCCTGAAAGAGCTGTACGAAGTGTCAGGAAAGGAACTTGATACGATCGTGGAATTTGCAGAGAGCTTTGACGGATGCATTGGCGCTCGTATGACAGGAGCGGGATTTGGAGGCTGTGCCATCGCCCTGGTGGCAAAAGAACGAATGCCTGATTTTGAAAAACAACTTAAACCGTATTACCGCGAAAAAATAGGGTATGACCCTGCTGTTTTCGCTTCTGAGGTTGGGGATGGTGTGCGGGCTTTATAGACGGCTAATCTAATGAATGCGATCACCGCGGACATCGAGATTTCTAATTACACCTGCTTCGTAATCGAGCCATTGTTTCCAGCGAACCCTGACTTTTTCTTTATCGATATAAGTTTCTGC